TCACCCCCCAGGGGGGATGGCCACGCCACAGCCCCTTCTCCCCCATTCTCATTTCGGGATCTTGGGCACACCCGCCTGGCGTGCGTTAAGCCACCACGTCCGGGACTCGAACCACCGTCAACTACAAGCGAGTCCAGTGACATACCCATTACACCAACTGCTGGTCCCAGGGATTGAGTGTTATTTCATAAGACCCCTCATGAGCCCGTGACACGGAGTTCTCTGTCGCTCCCATTTTGACAGTGGGAGGCAGGTGCAGAGCTGACTGGCTGCCGGGACTGGGGACTGGGCTGGTCACTGCCAGACCACACGGCCTCGGTAATCTCCACAGGTGCCTTCTTGTCCTGCAGTGACGATTCCTAAAGGAAGACACTTTTCCAGAACTTCCAGACTCTGGAGGGGGAGGAGGGAAATCTGTCACCAGCCTCCAGCAATAGCTCGCCTGTCCTGGGAGCCCTGAGCTGGCCCTGTCCCCACCAGAAGGCCCTGCCAAGAGCTCTGGTCCTTTCTGATCAGCAAGCCCCGCCCACCTTTCAGCTGCTGAGGCAGTCCGGCAGATGGGAGTGCGCCGGACAGATGGTGGGGCCCACAGACCCTTCCAGGGAGGCCGATGGCCTTGACAGCCCCTGCCACCACCCACCTTTGACACCTGGCCCGACCATTCAGTGATGCCACAGTCGCCTTTCATCCAGACCCTTCCTCCCCAGACCTGGAACCTGGGCCTGCGCAAGGGTGAGCCCCTCGGGGACAAGCGCAGGGGCTGCCTCCGTGGCCTCCTTATCACCCACTGCGGCTTATCTCCCCAGCACAGGCTGCCGGTCGGTCCTGCTCTGATGCTCATCAGCACGACCCGCTGAGAGGGCGTCAGGGACAGCAGCTGCAGGACAACGGTCTCAAGAGGGAGTGAAGTGTGTGCTCACAACTTACCCAGCAAAGCACATTTTAAAATTTGTACTTGGGGGACCAGCAGTTAGCGTAATGGCTATGTCGCTGAACTCCCACGTAGCCGACCACAGTTCAAGTCCTGGACCCAGTGGCTTAAACTCACACCAGGCACGTGTGCATGTGTGCCCAAGATCCCAAGAGCAGAATGGAGGAGAAGGGATTGTGGCGTGGCCATCTCCCCTGGGGGGTGATTTCTCGCTTTCTATCTCTGTCTCTCTAAAGAGCGCATGCACCCTATAGTAAACACCTCTCCAAAAAAAAAAAAAAAGAAAGAATTTGTACTTGGAATCTGAGTAGAATCAAATTCTGCTTTATAAAAAGGGATGAGGGGAGGGATACATACCACCCACATCACGAGTGGTCCTGAGAACTTGGTGCTGAGTGGAAGAAGGCAGATGCAGATGTGGGTACCTCCGGTGACATGAACTGTTCGGAGGGGCACATCTAGGGACGAGGAGGATTGGCGTTCCTCCCCCCAGCGAGGGCGGACACGGGGCGTAGGGAGTAGCCACCACTGGGGGGGAGAATGCACCGAAGGTGGATGGTGATGAGGGTCGGCCAGCTGTGAGCTGTGCAAACCACTGAGCCACGTACAACAGTGAGCCCTACAGCTGGTAAGCGGCGTGTCAATACATTGCAGTCGCCAAGATGGGTGGCCCCTTTCTGGAAGGGGGAAGAAACACGAAGAGCAGTTAGTCTGAACCAGGGCCTGCTCCAGAGGACACAGCGAGGGAGAGGTGGACCCGTCCCTGTCCCCGTCCCCGTCCCCATGGAGTCTATGTTCTCAGTGACTGCATAAGGGTGGCGGTGAAGGGGAACATCTGTGTGTTTTTTCCAGACACTTAAAAACACGTAGAGAAGGGACGGGCTATGAAATCAAACACCGGGTCACGGGGTCCAGAGACTATGTTCTGATGGTCAGTAAGGCTTAAGAGTTCATGAAAGGTTTGAGACCCCAACGCCCTCAGGATCGAGTGTTATTTCTTTTCTTTTCTTTTGCAGAGGGTTTTTTTGTTTTGTTTGTTTGTTTTTGCTACAGGGCATGTGCACTTGCCAGAAAGACAGAGACAGAGAGACAGAAAGCAAGAAATCACCCCCCAGGGGGGATGGCCACGCCACAGCCCCTTCTCCCCCATTCTCATTTCGGGATCTTGGGCACACCCGCCTGGCGTGCGTTAAGCCACCACGTCCGGGACTCGAACCACCGTCAACTACAAGCGAGTCCAGTGACATACCCATTACACCAACTGCTGGTCCCAGGGATTGAGTGTTATTTCATAAGACCCCTCATGAGCCCGTGACACGGAGTTCTCTGTCGCTCCCATTTTGACAGTGGGAGGCAGGTGCAGAGCTGACTGGCTGCCGGGACTGGGGACTGGGCTGGTCACTGCCAGACCACACGGCCTCGGTAATCTCCACAGGTGCCTTCTTGTCCTGCAGTGACGATTCCTAAAGGAAGACACTTTTCCAGAACTTCCAGACTCTGGAGGGGGAGGAGGGAAATCTGTCACCAGCCTCCAGCAATAGCTCGCCTGTCCTGGGAGCCCTGAGCTGGCCCTGTCCCCACCAGAAGGCCCTGCCAAGAGCTCTGGTCCTTTCTGATCAGCAAGCCCCGCCCACCTTTCAGCTGCTGAGGCAGTCCGGCAGATGGGAGTGCGCCGGACAGATGGTGGGGCCCACAGACCCTTCCAGGGAGGCCGATGGCCTTGACAGCCCCTGCCACCACCCACCTTTGACACCTGGCCCGACCATTCAGTGATGCCACAGTCGCCTTTCAGCCAGCCCAGCTGTCTCAGCCGAGGGCCCTTCTCTTTACAGCCTCTCTCTAGCAAAAGGCCTTTAGCAAACAAAGAGAAATGAAAAGGCAGCCATACTCAGCCACTGTGAGACGGGTGGGCACCAAACACTCGGGCACCACAGCCATGTCCTGGTTTAACAAGGGCAGCCCAGAAGGCCTCTTTGAGATGATGTTTGAGAAATGCCTGCAGGTGGCAGTGGAGGGTGGGCAGCTGCAGCTGGGGGGCAGAGGAGGGCCTCCCGGAGGAGGTGACTTTTGTGTTTCCATCTGAGATTTGGGAAATGGGGGGGATCCACACACAAACTGCAGGCAGGAGAGGGGCAGCCTGGAGACTATGCCCAGAGGCTGGACAGGTGAGCAGGGCCTGCCGGGAACCCTGGCTGCTGGCCGTAGAATCACCCGGGGAACTGCTGGCAATCCCCAGTGTGGAGGCCTTACCCCAGACCTAGAAGGTCAGAGGCTTGGCACCCCGGCAGAAGTACCAATGGAACAGCTCTCTGGGCCCGCCTCAGTGGCGTTGCAGTGGTGCTGAGGCCATCCGGAAGTCCTCGGTTTTCAGCACGCATCTCCCTGTGCGTGTGTGTGCCCACGGTGCTGGCTGGCCCAGGCTAGCTGGATCACAGGGTTTCGGTACCCTGTCGGGCGCCTTTCTCCCTCGTGGAAGAAACACGTAACTTTTTATAAGAAAAGCTCTCTAGACACTTGCCACTCGATGTGATGCACACCCCACAGCAATTGGGACCTGTGTGCAGTGTGCAATGCAGCATCTCGGCATCGCCCCGGACACGCTCAGCCAGAACCCCTGCTCCGTGCAGGCTCCACAGCAAGCGGGGCAGCCAGGGGCGGGGGGTGCCTCGTGGTGCCGTGGGGCTGCCGGGTGGGGCTGCCGCTCTGTGCGGGACTGCCTGGCCCCTGTATTATTTGGTTCCCATTCTGGGGAGTCCCGACTCTGTCCTGGGGATCCTGGGCTATCCTGGTCCTTCCTTCTGCTTTGAAACACACCCACAGGAGGCACAGACCGGACCACCGGGAAGAAGTGAAGCCATCCAGCCGCAGAGCTGTAACCAGCCTGCCTGGGGCCAGGTGCGCACCACCTGCCGGGAACTCTGAGGACTGGGCTAAAGAAACCTTTCTATTAGTATGGAAGGAGATGGAGACGGGGTTTTTGGTTTGGTTTTTTCCTGATCTGTGTGTTGGTTTCTGTTCCTGGCTGTGTAGGTACTCAGTAGACGTTAACAGATGCCCGTGCAGAGAATTTTCTGTACCAGCCCTGGTCAGTGTACTTTCTAGGCAGTGGTCCTCCCTCCCTCTGTTTCCGACCTCCCGTGTGATCTTGATTCCAGAAGGAGCTCTGACAGTGTTTGCCCCAGGCCGCTGTGCACACGCTGGCCTTTCCTGTGGCACACGGCACAGCTGTTACACGCTCAGGTCGTGGGCTCAGGTGGCCGAGGTTCCAAGCTCCGTGACTCTGGGTCAGTACTTGGAGCACGCCAAGCCATGCTGTTCCTGGGTGAAGTGCAGGAACAAAAGTATGTGCTCCAGAAGGTCGTGAAGAGGATGCGTGGAGACAGCAGGTAGAGAGGGAGCCGCAGGGCTGCGGGCTCAGAGACGGCACAGACGGGGTGTCACTGCACCCCTGAGCCAAGCACCCCAGTGTTCCCGTCACTGCTGCCGCTGAGCAGATGAGCGTGAACCTGGCGGCTGAAACAATGTCCGTTTGTTATCTTCCAGTTCTGGAGGTCAGGAGGCCGAAGTGGGTCCTACCGGACAAGAGTCCAGGTGTCCGCAGGACTGCTTCATTCTGGAGTCTCTAGGGCAGGGCCCCTTTCCTGTGCTTTCCAGTTTCTCGAGGCCACCTCATTCCTTGGCTCAGGGTTCCCTCCATGAGGAGCGGATCGGCTTCAGACCCCTGGCTCAGCTGGCACCGTGCCTCTTCTTTCCACTTAGACCCGTATGCATATTGGTCCCACCCAGCTAATCCAGGATAATTTCCCCACCTCAAGATTCCTAACTTCATCACCTGCGAGGTCCCTTGTACCTACAAGCAGCATGCTCACAGGTTCGGGGCTCTGGGCCCATCCTCCTGCCCACCACGCCTAGTTTCTGCCTTTTGTCGCACTCGGGGAGTAACTGGGCTGCATCCTCAGCTCACCAAGTAAGAAAGAAGATGGGGGTCAGACCCTGTGCAAGTGAAGGCAGCCACGCCCACCAGCCTCCCGCTCCAGCCCTCCTACTCCCCTCCCTGCTTTGCACACAGGACCCCGGCAAAACCGTGGGGACGGCGGGCAGCGGCGTCTGCAGCACAGAGGAGCAGAAGCCAAGCAAGTCCCAGCAGCTGAGAAAGGTGTTTCAAGAATACGGTGCTGTTGGGGTGTCACTGCACATTGGAATCTCATTAATCTCCTTGGGCATATTTTACATGGTTGTTTCAAGGTAAGATTTTGAATAGTAATATGTACCTGTTGTGTACTGTTCTGTGAGATGCCAGGTGACAGGAGCTTTTCTTCTTTCTGTGAAATGTCATCCCGTGCTGTAGTAATTGTGTTCTTTGTCTCCCCCACCCCTCCCCTCAGCGGTGTGGACATGTCCGCCATCCTGCTCAAACTCGGATTTAAAGAGTCGCTGGTACAGTCAAAGATGGCCGCAGGCACGAGCACCTTCGTGGTGGCCTATGCAATCCACAAGCTGTTCGCCCCCGTGAGGATCAGCATTACCTTAGTCTCCGTGCCACTGATTGTCCGGTATTTTCGGAAGGTGGGATTTTTTAAACCTCCAGCTGCAAAACCTTGATGAACTCTCCAGGTGTGGGCACCAAAAACCTGTTCCTTCTAAATTACACGATGTGGACTGGTTTTAGGGTTTAGGTTTGGGGGGAGGGCAGGGAGTATATTGCTTTGTTCTCATGGATAAATTTTATCTTTGCCAGCAAAAATCAGATTTTTGAATAACTAGTTTTTTGGGGGTATTTTTGCTATATAAATTTTGTTAATGCTATTCACTAGGGCTTATCTATATAACCTAAAATGTCAGCAAGACATCACAGTGAATGAGCATCTCGAAACAAAACAGCCTTCAGAACACTCCTCCTGGAAGATCACCAGGGAGGGGCCCTCAGCAAAAGCCCAAAAGGGTCCAGTGCTTGAGTTCTTACGAATCAGTGATTGATTTTAAGTTAATCGCTGGTTTTTAAATCTAGTTTTAAAAATTCTCTTTCCGCTGCTATTTGTTGTCAGCTACCTGCAGTTTAATATGCAATATTGGCAAAATAGCTGCCAGTACCGCAATTAATAAGGCAAGACGTAACCATATGTAATCATAATCGAAATGAGCAGCCACCACTTGACACTACTGCACCTGTTTAGGGGGGAGGGCGTATTCTGGGTGTGTTTCACTGCTCCCCAAACACCCTTGAGTCAGAACACTATGGGCTCAGGGGGTTTTACTGAAATTTCATTAGAGCAGGCCAGGGTAGCTTGCTTTTAGGTAAAAGGTGGAAACTCTGTCCAGTAGTATCGGCTCCTGAAACACCCACTCCACAGAGGGATCTGGGCACCACGCAATGAGAAGACCACCTTAGTTTTTCCTAGACAATCTCTGCTCAGTTCTCTCAAACTTCAGACATTCCAGAACTGCTAAAATGTTCACACTATACCACCATGTTTTGGTTCAAATTATGTTTAAAAGTATCTTTTAACCACTTCCTAAAAAGGAAATTAGTTGTCCTTACGGTAAAGGGCAGGCGCTGTGAAGTGATACGTGCGGGGGAGCGAGGGGGGACAGGCATGGCTAAGAGCCTGCCAGGCCAGCTCACCCAGCAAAGGGCATGTGTTGGAAGATGAGTTAAATAGACATTTAAGCGCACACACCCACAGAGATTCCTCAAGCGAGTCAGGAGCAGATGACTGGAGAAGGAATTCCATCCTGAGTTATTTGGCATTGTGGAAGACCCCTCAGGGCCGTGGCCGATACATGGTGACCTTACTCTGGGGATCCAGTTCAGCAGTCTGCACTGCCTCTCGGTGAAGGGAGTTGCATTTATCTGACTCCTGATTCCTGTCTTTAAAAGTGACTTCTGTGACAATCAGAAAATTAAAGGAACTAGTAACTGACCACATTGGTTTTACTGAGATCTGGCTGCTGACCATTCACCAGTTGGCCCATAGTTACCCACAGTCAGTCCATTAACGCACTCGACACTTGAAAGAATCTTAATGGAACAAGTTCTCTACTTGCAAAATCCTCAGTGAACCGTTGTTTCTTCTTAAAGCGAGTGGCCCATTGCCAGGCAGGCTCTACTGATTTAAAGAACCGCCTCTCCTGGATCTAATGCCAGGGCGTCTCCTCAGCCCAGGGAGGTGCCTGATACATGCTCAGTGACTCCTTGTGTGGGATGGACAGGGCATTTCCTTCTCTTGTATCTCCACAGTGGCCGTTGGCTTCGAGCCCCTAATCACCTTCTCTACCAACCTCCCATTCAGATCCCTGGTGAAGGCCCACGCAAAAAGTGCCGAGCCCGGGTCCTCCTGTGGGCTTCCGTCTCAGACCTCGTGTTAGGAATAATGGGAGTGGACCAGGACAAGCAATAAACTACCCCTACCAAATAGCCACATGGCTATTTTCTAAGCCCCAACCCCACTCCACTCCCGTGAGCAAACCTAAGAATAACTGGAGAGAATAAGGTGCAAGGATCAGGGAATTGTGTCGGTTCACCAGCAAGATGTACAGAATGCTTGTGTTTACATTTTTATGGAACTAGGGGAATAAAAGTAATCTATTTTTAAAGTGGAAGCCATTGTTCACCTGTATTTTTTTTTAATATGACAAAGTGAGCAGCTCAAATTGTGAAGCAAATAAACATCTGTGTAACGTGTGTGTACTCTCGTTCTGGTGAGCCGTACTTGCCGTGGATTATGGGATGCAGCCTGTGTGACTGGTGTGTTAATGCGCGACCACAATGAGCTGCTTCTTTGCTGGTGTGGGATGGTCTGGGCAAACGTCCCAAGCTTAGCTGGTATCACTGGTGAAGTTACTCACGTTAGCTGTAGCTGGGGTGGACGGACATGAAATCCCACTCTGGCAACGTCAACCTGGCTCAGTGCAAGACTGGGGACCAGGAGCACCAAACCACCGACCACTGTAGTTTAACTCCATCATGAGTCTTTTAAAGTTCAAAGACTTTTGTCACTTAGACCGGAAGTCTACGTTGGTCACTTCCTTACATGAAAACTTACCTGTGTAGTCTCTGGCACTGAACTGGTCATGGGAGCCACTTTGCAAGTTCGAAGGTCGGCACTTTGTACCTTCCCTTCATCACTGTCAAGTTCACAGTATCTTTGGTTACCTGACAGATGACTGCTGGCAGCTATAAACCAATACGTAGGTTTACCGGTGAGGCACACACTCAGCCTGCGACCAGAAGGCTAGACTGCTCCTCTCAAGGCCCTTGCTCACTTCTAGGCCAACGGCAAACAGGTGGAGAGAAGCACCCACGTACTCCAGGTAGATATATGTATTTATTCGTGTATTTAAAGTTTACACACATGCTGTAACTCCAATGTAAGAAAATCAGCTCAACATGTAGGAATGGCTGAGACCCACGTCTCTCCTGCATCCCAACAAGTCCGAGGTGGAGGTAGAGCACACGTTCCTATTTGACAAAGTCTCACACAGGAGTAGTTCAGGACTAGAAACCCAGGCAGGATTAACAGGCAGACACAGAGCATTCTTGAGGGGATGCCATGGAAGGACATATACAAGTCTATACAAAAATCTTTATTTTAACATTTAAAAGAATCACATTCATTTCAACAGCTTTGCCAGGCTTAGCCACCCAATAAGTTACACACACACCTGGGTACTTGGAAAGGTATTGCACAGCTCGTAAGTGATCAAGTTGGGGCACAGTGGTCACTTTCTCCACAATCAGACTCCAGGCTTGTCTCCAGCAATGTCCCCTTGCCTGGCACAGGCTGTGGAGGCAGCTACAGTCGGACCTGGCCTCCCCATCAAGACGCCAGTTTCCCTTCAGTGTCCTGTTCATCGACATGGAGCTCCAAGGAGGGAGGAAGAGGCACAGCCCGCCCAGTAAGACAAACCCCACTGCGAGGCGCGCTCTAGATGAAAGGCCCGTGGTCAACAGCAAAACGGATCTCGGTAGCGTGTTCCTGACAGATTACACAGCAGCCCTGGCTCCGGGATTCCTCCCAGGCATGATTCCTAATTAAGACTGTTTGCTGGTTGATTCTTTGCCTTTTTGGCAATTTGGTTTTGATGAATTGGCTGTGATCCAGGGGTGTTCGAGAACTTCTCTGAGAGTTGGCCTCTGGCTGGGATTGTGCCGTAAGAGTCTGGAAATGAGGTCTCTGGCTCCCTCCGTGACAAAATCAGGGAAGGTATACTCAACCTGGAGTAAGTAAGGGACAGAATGTCACAATGCATGGCTTAGACCAAAAGATTCAAATATTCAGATCTCGACCTAGTTTGGGCTGTGAGGAAAGAATTCTGACAGCATGCAGGGGCCCTTCCAGGCTCATCTTACCCTTGATATTCTCTTGTAGGTCTCCTGGTATGTGTTTGTCTCAAAAGGAGGCTTTCCAACCAGAAATTCATAGCAAAGGACTCCAAGACTCCAGAGATCCACCTTCTCATCATGCATCCGGCCTTCGATCATCTCAGGGGGCAGGTAGTCCAGGGTGCCACAGAGGGTGGTTCTCCTAAAAGTAAAGGCTCAGCTTGACACGCTTGTTTTCTGATTCAAGCAACTGCCAAAAATCACTGACAATTGCATTAGCACTGAGTGCTCCCAGGCCACTTCCTGTGTATGGAGCAGGTTCTAGTATACACCCCAACGCAGAGATAACAGAAGAGATTGAGGGAGTTGTATAAGGTCATACAGCTAGTAACCAAGTTTTACACCAAATCTGTCAAACTCCAGAACTCCCCTGAACTGTCTAGAATTGAAGCATCACAATTAATATATGAGTGCATATGTTCTCTGAACTCATGCAGAACTCTGTCAAAATGATAGGGATTTATTTTTATGAGGGGACTTCAAAAAGTTTGTGGAAATATTAAAGTATGAGTTTATTTTGGTGCAATTAATCCATGCATAGTTTTCTCATCCCATGAGATTTTTAAAGAGATATGCTAAGGAGCTTCAGAGCCAAGTAGCATCGAAGACAGGGAACTAGCCCAGCTTAGGTGATGCGCTGTATAACGTACGGACTGCAGAGCTGGAAGCCACACAACTGACCAGGGGCCCAGATCCCCAGGTTAGCCTGAAAATATACCAGGCACATGCACAGATGCCTGCAGTCCAACTGGAGGGCTAAGGACAGGGGACTGGCATCAGGAGACTGCTGGTGTGGTGCTCTTCCAGAAAAAAAGAAACTAGAAGTCGCCCACTGTGAAAGTACTAGGGTTTAGCTTACTGCTAAGTTTTGCCTTCTGATAGGTCATCGGTACAAGAGAGATACAGAAGTTTTGAAGGTGGCCTTTGAAATAGTCTTCCTAAAAACATTCCATCTGAATCTCACCTTTTCCAGCCTTTAGACCTAAATTCCAGCTCTTAGAGATACTGGGAATAAAGGTCCAAGATAAGCCACAGCGCGATCAGAAAAACTCATTTAAAATGTGTGTGTGGGAGGGCAAGGACTGTTCTACCCTAAGACCATCAAATATAACGTGGACTTTGGTGGGTGGGATGTGGTTCTAAAAACCAGCCAGAACATTTTGTGGGCAACGGGGCAAATCCGAACATGGCCTAAGCAGTGGCTATTAATGCTGTGAATTTCCATGGGAGCAGAAATGGCCGCAGTGGTACAGTCTCCCTGTTCCAGGAGAAGCACACTGTGGTCTTAGGGATGAAGCATCATGATGTTCACAGCTTATTTTCAAACATTCACCCAGAAAGTAGATGCAGCCAATAGGGCAAAATGCTGAGAAACACTGAACATGGGCACTTGGGAGGCAGGTGGCCCGCCAGCCCCAACTCAGTTTCTGTCCGATTAGATTCTTATCACAAAGATTGGCATAAGCTAGGCATGGCAGGCTGCAGGCCATGCAGGCCCCATTGCTTTGTACCAGTTCTCTGCCACTGTGACACTGGACACTGTGGCAGCACTGGGACCTCACCGCCAAGCCTAGTGCCTAGTGAGCACCCACGTTTATTCGAAGTCCTGACAGATTACACAGCAGCCCTGGCTCTGGGATTCCTCCCAGGCATGATTCCTAATTAAGACTGTTTGCTGGTTGATTCTTTGCCTTTTTGGCAATTTGGTTTTGATGAATTGGCTGTGATCCAGGGGTGTTCGAGAACTTCTCTGAGAGTTGGCCTCTGGCTGGGGTTGTGCCGTAAGAGTCTGGAAATGAGGGCCTTAAGACTGTTTGCTGGTTCATTCTTTGCCTTTTTGGCAATTTGGTTTTGATGAATTGGCTGTGATCCAGGGGTGTTCGAGAACTTCTCTGAGAGTTGGCCTCTGGCTGGGATTGTGCCGTAAGAGTCTGGAAATGAGGTCTCTGGCTCCCTCCGTGACAAAATCAGGGAAGGTATACTCAACCTGGAGTAAGTAAGGGACAGAATGTCACAATGCATGGCTTAGACCAAAAGATTCAAATATTCAGATCTCGACCTAGTTTGGGCTGTGAGGAAAGAATTCTGACAGCATGCAGGGGCCCTTCCAGGCTCATCTTACCCTTGATATTCTCTTGTAGGTCTCCTGGTATGTGTTTGTCTCAAAAGGAGGCTTTCCAACCAGAAATTCATAGCAAAGGACTCCAAGACTCCAGAGATCCACCTTCTCATCATGCATCCGGCATTCGATCATCTCAGGGGGCAGGTAGTCCAGGGTGCCACAGAGGGTGGTTCTCCTAAAAGTAAAGGCTCAGCTTGACACGCTTGTTTTCTGATTCAAGCAACTGCCAAAAATCACTGACAATTGCATTAGCACTGAGTGCTCCCAGGCCACTTCCTGTGTATGGAGCAGGTTCTAGTATACACCCCAACGCAGAGATAACAGAAGAGATTGAGGGAGTTGTATAAGGTCATACAGCTAGTAACCAAGTTTTACACCAAATCTGTCAAACTCCAGAACTCCCCTGAACTGTCTAGAATTGAAGCATCACAATTAATATATGAGTGCATATGTTCTCTGAACTCATGCAGAACTCTGTCAAAATGATAGGGATTTATTTTTATGAGGGGACTTCAAAAAGTTTGTGGAAATATTAAAGTATGAGTTTATTTTGGTGCAATTAATCCATGCATAGTTTTCTCATCCCATGAGATTTTTAAAGAGATATGCTAAGGAGCTTCAGAGCCAAGTAGCATCGAAGACAGGGAACTAGCCCAGCTTAGGTGATGCGCTGTATAACGTACGGACTGCAGAGCTGGAAGCCACACAACTGACCAGGGGCCCAGATCCCCAGGTTAGCCTGAAAATATACCAGGCACATGCACAGATGCCTGCAGTCCAACTGGAGGGCTAAGGACAGGGGACTGGCATCAGGAGACTGCTGGTGTGGTGCTCTTCCAGAAAAAAAGAAACTAGAAGTCGCCCACTGTGAAAGTACTAGGGTTTAGCTTACTGCTAAGTTTTGCCTTCTGATAGGTCATCGGTACAAGAGAGATACAGAAGTTTTGAAGGTGGCCTTTGAAATAGTCTTCCTAAAAACATTCCATCTGAATCTCACCTTTTCCAGCCTTTAGACCTAAATTCCAGCTCTTAGAGATACTGGGAATAAAGGTCCAAGATAAGCCACAGCGCGATCAGAAAAACTCATTTAAAATGTGTGTGTGGGAGGGCAAGGACTGTTCTACCCTAAGACCATCAAATATAACGTGGACTTTGGTGGGTGGGATGTGGTTCTAAAAACCAGCCAGAACATTTTGTGGGCAACGGGGCAAATCCGAACATGGCCTAAGCAGTGGCTATTAATGCTGTGAATTTCCATGGGAGCAGAAATGGCCGCAGTGGTACAGTCTCCCTGTTCCAGGAGAAGCACACTGTGGTCTTAGGGATGAAGCATCATGATGTTCACAGCTTATTTTCAAACATTCACCCAGAAAGTAGATGCAGCCAATAGGGCAAAATGCTGAGAAACACTGAACATGGGCACTTGGGAGGCAGGTGGCCCGCCAGCCCCAACTCAGTTTCTGTCCGATTAGATTCTTATCACAAAGATTGGCATAAGCTAGGCATGGCAGGCTGCAGGCCATGCAGGCCCCATTGCTTTGTACCAGTTCTCTGCCACTGTGACACTGGACACTGTGGCAGCACTGGGACCTCACCGCCAAGCCTAGTGCCTAGTGAGCACCCACGTTTATTCGAAGAAGTGTTACCTGGACTAAGGAGCTGCCTTTTCGGATACCTGACTGCTCATCACCCCCAAAACAAGGAGCCAGACTAAATCAGGGAGTTCCCAGATATGGAGACAATCACCAGGAAGCTGTCATGGTTAACATTTGGGATGTGAGGCCAAGTGACTGTCGACATTTACGAAAATGACCTCTTCGGAAAATGCCGCTTTTCTCTTGATGACACCACTGGATGGGTTAAGGTCCAGCTTAACCCTGCGACCCCAGGAAGACTACAGTCATCTAGTGTTGTCTCACTAAGTGACAACTAATGATACTCAAGTTTAAAAAGACTGCAACCACAGATTTGACCCATTTAGAAGTGACATTTAACAAAAACAAAAGGTTCCCTCCAACATGTTGTCTATTTTAGGCTACACAATTATTTGAGCTGGTTTTACTTTTAAAAATCATCTGGCTATAATTTTTTCCCCCACAAACCTGACAAACCTAATCAGTAGATTTATGCTTTAAAATGCCCCAAATTACAGGTATACCAAATTAAATTTAGAACAATAGAGACTATGTTAGCTTGTGTTTGGAAAGTTTGCCTAAGATTTAAATAGTTTCATTAGCTTGATATCTCTGATTCAGTTTGAAGAGTAGTCAGGAAAAGGGAACCAGTGGGTGGCATGGTGATTAAAGCGCTGGACACTTCCACATGGCCAACCACAGTTCAAGTCCCGGACCTGGTGGCTATTTTCTCACCTTCTCTCTCTCTGGTCAAATTAAAAATAAATCAGTGGGGACCAGCAGTTGGCGTAATGGCTAGGTCACTGGACTCCCCCATAGTCGACCGTGGTTAGAGTCCCAGACCCAGTGGCTTAAACTCATGCTGGGCACATGTGTGTACATGCCCAAGATCCCGAGAGGAGAAAGGACTACGGCGTGGAGAGGCGGAAGGACTGCCGGGTGGCCCTCCCCCGGGGGGGGGGGGTGATTTCTTGCTTTCTGTCTCTCTCTGTCTTTCTGGCGAGTACACGCACCCTATAACAAAAATCTCTCCAAAATAAATAAATAAATAAATAAAATGAATGAATAAATAAAATAAAAAATTATTTGAAAAAAAAAAAAATAGTAGTCAGGAAAGGACTCCTCCTACTCCCGACAAAAGCAGACCAGAAAATCTAACGACCACCTCAAAACTCTCCAGACCAATGCGGTCTCCAAAGTTCCCTGAAACGCTGTGAGCTCAACCCCAGATATCAGCGTACCCTGTCCCCCAAACTATCTCCCCCTCTCCTTGCCCAGGAAGCAGCTAGTCTCCATCTCCCAGTAAGAAGAGTGCCTTCTCTACACACCTGCATCGCACCTTGTCGTACACGTGTCAGATCTGACTATCCGCCCCCTCATCAGCCTTTACGGACAGAAGAGCTTTAACCCTAGGCCTAGAACATACACAGCCCAAATAGTTGCAGAATAAAATCACCTTACGATACTAGTTTATTGTCAGGCCTAAATTACTCCAAAGTATCTCTAGGCCAGAAATCTATGCTTACAAATTTATATTTTTAGCTCATCAGTCCCTGGGGCTTTTGCCAAACCAAACTTCTACCTCTGCTGTTACATACCTGGAGGATGGCGCGTGCACTGACCATCCAAAATCTGCGATCTTAAGTTCTCCTGTCGATCCCAGAAGCAGGTTCTCTGGTTTAATGTCTCTATGAATAACTCTCTTCGAATGACAGTAAGACAGGGCATTTGCCAACTCTGTGATATACTATTCAAAAAAAAAAAAAAAAGGCTGTTTTAGATCTTATAAAATACATGTTAACATCAGACATCTCTCCATAAAGGAAACCTAACATAGATTTTAAGATAATTTGCAGAAATGACGTACCAGTCCACAAAAAATGACTGAACCAACTTGTAGTGGTAAGTTATCTCTGTACTAATATGGCACTATGATGCTGAAAGACGCTGTAACTACACCCACACACGGCAACTTCCAGCCCCACAGCAGCGAATCCGATGATGCTAAAGAACTAGTACAAATTAGGGATTCCGGTGTGTTAACAATGCCTTTTTTAAAAAAAAATTAACAAAAAAAAATTTAAACCTTTAAAGTCGCAGCCGATTCCACTGTTAAACCAAGATCATCCAACAACAGAATGACTTCTTTGAAGCTAAATGTTTACTGCATGAATACCAGGAGAATTAGGGGCCAGACAATGGCATACCCATAAAGGATATAAAACAGTACATTCTGCAAGGCTGGCCATGTGAGAAGAGCCCAGGCTCCTGCCCAGAGACCTAGCTGAGTACATGAGGTGTGTGAGTGCCCATGACCTGGGACCGGCTGAGGCTCGGAGTAGATCCAGGCATCAAGACCCTGTTGGGGGTACTGTCTGTCTCTCTCACTCATGTTAGGGATAAATGAATAAGCTTTAAAAAAGAATCAGGAAAAAAGATCATCCTAAAGAATAAACAAATTAAAAGTGGTTACGCTGTTATATTAAACAGCATGTTAAATTTGGGGTAAACTAATTCATCATTCAGCAGTATACAAAATCAGTCCTGTTCATTTTTTTTTCCCCTCAAGTTAGTCGGTCTTGCCTTGAACTGGCGACCTTCCCATATGGGTCTGCTTTGTAGAACGTCACAGTTCTACCCTGCACCACCATCCAGCCCCTGCTTTGCTAATATTTTTGTTTTGTTGTTTCCTTAGCTAATATTTAAAATTCAAATAAAGCAGGTCTATTTCTACTGATGAGACGGGCAAACATTTAAGATTTGGTACAAAATAGGCAGGGACTTCAAAAAGGTCGTGGAAAAATAGAAGTATGAATTTATTTTTGTGTAAAAAGATTTTGACATCCACACCTAGTCTTAATACACACTTCCCATAAAGGATTTTTAGAATCCTTATAGTATATGGTCACCGCAGAGCCAAGACCAGAGGTTCAGTCACCAAAAATGGTGTGGTTATCATTTGATGAAAATAAAAACAGCAGCATTGCAAGGTCATTTAAATCAAGGCTGAAAAGAAAACTAGTGCACGCACTACCCAGAGGTCTCCACCAAGGCACAAAACGAGTTGGAGTAACCACCATGCAGTAAGCCCACCACCTAGCAACTAAACAGGAGGCAGCCCAAATGAAGACTCTTCACCATCTTAAGTTTATTTTCAAAAATAAAAAGGATCAGGACCAGCAGATAGCGTAATGGCTATGTTGCTCGACTTCCACACAGCTGACCGCAGTTCAAGTCCCAGACCCGGTGACTTAAACTCATACCGGGTGCATGTATATGTGTGCCCAAGATCCTGAGAGGAGAATGAGGGAGAAGGGATTGCGGCATGGCGATCCCCCCTGGGGGGTGATTTCTCGCTTTCTGTCTCTCTCTGTCTTTCTGGAGAGCGCACACACCCTAGGGCAAAAACCTCTCCAAAAAATAAAAATAATAAAAAGGATCATGAAAACCACTTTCATGAAAGAAAAAAACTACATGAACTTTATAAAGATTAAAACTGCCTGTCAAAGACAAACAGTAAGAGAATGAGAAGTCAAGCCACAGAATGGGGACACACACTGACAAAACGTGATAAAGGAACTGTGTCCTGAATATGCAAAGAAGTCTTAAAATTCAGTAAGAAACCAAAACACCCAATTAAAAAAAGGGCACCTCAAGATGATACACAGATGACAAATAAAGCTGCTACACGTGTCATTAGGAAAGTGACTTAAATCCCCAAAACTGACATCAACTGTGGGTGAGGATGAGGGGCCATTCACGGATTAGAATGCAAAGTGGTGCATCCATGTCACGTACAATGGCACACAAATGCTCCTAACAAAGCTAACCAAGTCTTAGCGCACAAGCCAGCTACTCCTAGCTCTGTCCAACTGATCTGTAAGTTACGTCTCCACAAAAGCCCACGTGCAAGTTGCCTGTAATCGCCAGAAGCAGCCAGGACGCTCCATAGTAGAGGAATGGGTAAACCGAGGTGCATACGCAGATGGAGCGTTATTCAGTGACAGACAGAAACGAGCTACCAAGCCCTCGGAGACACGGCTGAGTGCTAAACACACACTCCTAAGTGAAAGGAGCCAATCAAAGGCTGTGCGCAGTGAGGACTCCAATGGTATGATCGGCGAGAAAAGGCTGAACACAGGCAGAGGTGTGACCGACCCGCGGTTGCTGCCAGAGGCTGGGGCGGGACGCTGAGTACGGAAACACAGGAGCTTCTCCTTTTGAAGCAGTGACACTTACGTGCTGTAACGGTGGATACAGGACATTATCCACCTGTCAAAATCCGTAGAATCTCACAGCCCAAAAAGTAACTCTTAGGATGCAAATGTGAAAGAAACACAGCCGTGAAACGCCACGTCCCGTGTGGCTAACCCACATGGAAATGCTGTGGGTCCGAGTCTGGACCTCTTCAATACTCTGCACACATGCCCATGACCTGAGGCTGGCAAAGGCTGGCGGAGCATCACGGCATTAAGACTGTTGGGTTGTGATCTGTCTGTCACTTTTGCTCATGGAAGAAATAAACTTTAAAAAAAAAAAAAAAAGCCAAGGGGAAAAAAGAATGGCCCACGTGGTAACGGTTAGAGTCAAAGACACTGTTATCAACTTACGTTCTGCTTAACAGACAGTCGGATAAGGACACGGTTACCATGTGGACGTGGGTGTGAGTTAGTGGACACGCAGCCCCGACCCCGTCAGCGGGGAGTGAGACGTACTGATGCCCCGGCAGCATGAGCACACGCGGCACCCGGGCCCTGGGTTCTAATATCACTCTCCGATAAAAGGAACCAAGGCTCCTTGGACGGGGCAGGAAATACACAAAACGAGGCCTGAGCACCTTGGACTGAGATGAGGAGCGGCGGTGGGGGCGCTGGATGAGAACCGCAGCGACCGACACAGGAACCGTGTGAAGGAACTCCTGTGGTCACAGTGGAACGGTGTGAGGGGCAAAGCCAAGCAGAATCAGATAACAGCTCTTAGTATGAAAAACACCTGGGCCTATGTTTCTAAATACATGACTGGATAAATAAGGGAGCGAAGACGAGGCTCGGTACAGAAAGTGACAGGGAGACGCTCTGGCCACTCTCCACCCCTGTGCACGCCTTCTTCTGAGAGCATAGGGAGGGCCGAGGGAAGAGGATCCCGAGGTGGAGAAACCTCAAACACGTCTCTGGCGCGTGTTCAGCCTAACCCCTGCACAGAACATACCCCCAATGTGAGGAGGATCACCTCACCGGGGATCTTCCTCCCAAATGCCTGCAACCCCAACCTTGTCATGGGAAAAACTACGGGTAGACCCAGCCAGTAGTTCCACGTCGGCACAGTTCATCAGCTGTGGGGAAGGCCGCCGTAGTAACGCAAGATGTTAAGGGGAGGAATTAGGGGTGGGGGAGGAATTAGGGGTGGGGTACACGAGACTATCTCCCAATTTCTACGTAAATCCAAAACTATTGCCCCAAAATCATCACTTGAAAAGGGGAGAAGGCGTTGATGTGTGGTAAAATACGTCACTCTGCAAGGCAGACCCACACAGGGAGATCCCAGGTTCGCAGCGAGACCTCTGAGCACACAAAGCACACGTGCCCACGACCCAGGCTGGGGCTGGACTGTACATCAAGGCCCTGTTGGGGTGTGCACACACATGCGTGCATGCGTGCTCGCTCACTCTCTTAGAAGAAAAAAATAAAAACTAAAAAAACAGGGCAACTTTCCATACACATTTTCACAGAAAAACTGCAGCCGTGCCATTTCGCCTGGTCCCCGATTTTATCTGCGCCTTTAGTACCACTAAGCTATTTCGCTTTTTCCACTCCAGATATTTGCTCCTATTAGGCTACTCTCCCATAAGGCAAATCCCACTCCATTCTAATGAAAGTGTCACCGCTATGGAAAATGGGCAGAGGAAAACAGAATGAGTCTGGACGACAAATGAAAACTTACAGTCGCAGTTCTCTGCTCGTCAAACTTGGAGAGTTTCTGTAGTTCTCTATAGACTGTCCCGAGTGGTGCATATTCTAGAATCAGGTAAACTCTGGTGGCATCGTGGAAATAACCATAGAGCCTAAGGATGTTAGGATGCCTGCAAAAAGCATGAAGATATTAACACCTGTTTTGGAGCTGATGCAAGAATATGTGCTAACTGTCAGAACAAACCCCTTGTGTAAAAAACCATGGTGTTGCACAGAAAACCCCTCCCGACCTCACTTGAGAATTTGAAATTCGAAATGTATTCCTGGAAAAACACACACACCCACATACCACTGTAAGTGGATTTCCCAGTATGAGAGGGCCTTGGGTTCAATTAAGACTATTCCCTGCTTCCTTCACGCATCTTTATTTTTAGGAGAATAGTAATTTCTGCATATTGAAGACAAAAGGACATGGCATCCCCACACTGGTCTGATGCCCGGGTACCGGACAGATAAAGGCAGTGTGCTGTATGGGCAGGAGGCAAGTGCCCAACTGGGCCACGAGTGTGGGCTGCCAAGACAGAGCACACCAGGCAGATGTGGGTCCTTCCCAGCCTCAGCTGCTGTCAGCAGGTTAGGATGAGGGCCTGATGCCACCCAGTTCTAAGTATTAGCAGCTGACTCAGATTTTTTATTTTTTATTTATTTAATTTTTTTGGGAGAGGTTCTTGCTATAAGGCACGTGCGCTTGCCAAAAAGACAGAGAGAGACAGAAAGAAATCAACCCCCAGAGGGGATGGCCACACTGCAATCCCATCTCCTCCATTCTCCTCTCGGGATATTGGGCACACACACACACGCACCTGGCGTGAGTTTAAGCCACTGGATCCGGAACTCGAACCCCGGTCGACTACATGGGAGTCCAGAGATGTAGCCATTACACAATCTGCTGGTCCCCAATTCAAATTTGAAAGCCGCAGTAAGAAAAAAAAAACAACAGGAAAAATGAAAAAACCCACTGGCCACAGTCCACCTGCCCATGGCCAACTCCGAGGCTCTGTTCATCTCCAAAAGAGCCGACATTCATTCCTCGCAAAGATCTGCCCACCGAATTACTGCATTCACAGAACATTAATCTTCTGGTGGCTGCTTTTTTCCTTTTTAAGACCATAGCACTCAAATCTAAATCAACCTTTAGAAAATGCCAAATTTAATCACCCTTTCTGTTTCTTTGAAGCAGGCCCTCTGGAAAGAAATGTATACTCTTAACACCTTTAAGATCTCTCTGCACCAATCCCTCCCCCCTCCTGCCCAAGCTGGAATTAAATAGACTTTTTTTTATATAAGTTCTATAAATGCTAAAACATGTATAGTTTTGTAAAGCTAATACCATATACCACAAACAAGATAGAGAATAATCCCATCATCTCTAACAATTCCCGAATAGTTACATACTTTCTTTACCCTTAATGACATCCCTGAATGTGTTTTTTATCTTCTGTGAAAAAGACAAATGTAAATCAAGACACTGCGGCTTATTCTGAGGTGAAGCGCCCTTCCCTTATCTGTGTGCACATCTCTCCAAGCTCATTTTCATGTCAGTAAAGGAATGTAACAAGCTAAGAAGAAAATAAAATCTGCACCTTCCCCTTGAACGTGGCCCGCACACTCACCGAAGGTGGGACTGTATTTCCACCTCCCTCCGGAGCTGGTGCTCCACCCCGGCTTTCTCTAGCTGGGCCTTGAATAACACCTTCAGAGCCAGGATAAACTTGCTTTGTCTTTCTCTTGCCAAATAGACATTACCAAACTTTCCTTTACCGAGCGGACGGCCGATTTCAAAATCTTCCAAAGACCACTGTCTCCTAGGAAAGGTTTTAATTAAATATTTCAAAATGTGAAGGCAACAAATCTTTCCTAACACTGTATGAATAGTAATTGAATAATAACACATTCTACAAAACCCTGTGTTTGGAATTGTGCTTGTTACGTGCCCTCTGTAAGAACCGAGTCAGTGACCACGACCAAGCAGTCCCCACGTTAACCCCGACTTCCCAGCTGCCATCGGGCAAGGACCTTCAGAGCTGAAACGCTCAGTGGGAAAGTGGCCAAGGCTGTCCTCTGCTCAAGACAGTCCTATTGGCAACACTGAAGACCATAAAGGAGGACAAGCAACTGGAGGGGAGAGGCTATGAGACACCCCGAGGGCCTCCTCACACTGCCACCGCCACATCCATCCGTCCCCCAAAGTGGTAACTCTGGGGTAGAGAGCCACTCTGTGGGCAGACACTGAGCTGCTAATGCTGAGAGAAGCAGAGGGGACCCCACAGGCCAGTGTGGGCACGAAAAATCACTCCGACAGGCTGCTGAAAGCACAGATGTCTGGGGGCTTGTTCCTAGCTCCTCCTCCTCCATTCTAGAGCCCAGTTTGGACTGAGAGCAGATTTTTAGAAATGTCTGGGGAAGATGTAACAGTCAATGTTTAAGACAAAGCAAGAAATCACCCCCCAGGGGGGATGGCCACACCACGATCCCTTCTCTATTCTCCTCTCAGGATCTTGGGCACGCACACACAGGTGCCCAGAGTGAGTTTAAGCCACGGGGTCCAGGACTAAAACTGCAGTCAGCTACATGGGAGTTCAGCTACATAGTCATTACGTCAACTGCTGGTCCCAAAAGCTTACTTTTTTGAGTCTTCATTTTTCTGTTTCGATTCCAGTTCCTTTTCGGCATTATTTCCTATATGGAATAAATTGAAAACCTGTTTTTAGAATAATTATGAGTTAAAAAGCAGTGCAAGAGATGAATCAAAGAATGGTCACCAAAATATTAATATTACATTGAGAAGGACAAATCTGGGCCACCCCTAACCCACCCTCCTTCCCATCTTGCTCTGCTGGGTCCAGTGGTGCCGCTCTGCAGGCCACTCGATGCATCCAGAGTCAGCCTGTTAAAGCAAGCCAGTTCCTCCTCTGCTCAGACACCCTCCACAGCTTCCCGATACTGCCGCGGCCAGCAGTGCCCCAACCCGGCCTGCCTCAGTTCACTCATCCCCCAGATTTCCTCTCACCTGCCAGAGCTGTGAAGCTTTTCAGTCCTTCCAATGTACCTGCCACAAGCACCCTACGCCCGACCCACTGATACGTAATCAAACAGCCATGGGACTCGTGCTTAGTCTCCCCAGTTGCCAACTCTTCCAAGAAGGTGGGAGTTAGGTCTGCATACTCAGCATAGGCCAGGTCTGCAGTGGACTCTCACCTGGACACCATATCTTCTCTCCCCATCCTCAACAGATCAGATGTAAAAGCTACAGCACCCAGCAATAAACGCGAGCCGACACAGGTGCTTGTTCTAGCAACAATTAGAAAGAGTGCTTATCCAGTGAGTCTCAAGAAGCTCATTTACCAGGTTCTGATGGCTGGGGCTGCTCGCTCTTTGGTGTGTTGCTAGGTGGCTTGGAGACAGGATGGGGAACACTGGTTGCTGGTAATTGCTTCTGCTTTTGATTCAGATTCTGAACAGGTTTATGACTGGAGACCGGCTTCGGCCTAGGAACACGCTGGGAGGAGTTCGAAGGACACAGGACTCGCTGAGCCTGGCCGCTACTTGGAGGTAATGGATTCTGAGAAGGAAACTGCTGAGCCACCGGGACACGTTTTGGACCATCCCCAAGGGGTAGTGTAGCCTAGGTTGGGAGAAAAAAGAAGCTCAAGTCACTAATGACAGATGGAAGAGGAGGCACGGCTGTAATTAGCACTTCCAGAGCACTTGGTGTGTAGCAGAAGGAACAGAGTGACACCTCCTTCCCGGCCCAACTCCTCACCACTCTGTCATGCTCCAGTAACTAAACATTAACTAAAATTCCACCCAGTGAGGAAGACATTAACACTTAGAAGCTCATGACTTGAGAACATAAGCCTAAATTTATCTTCTAGCAAAAGCTACAATACAAAAACATCAAAATTCTAGTCCCACTGAAATTTCTTTGGTGATACAGATTCAGAAAGACTGAAAGAAATAACATTAAAATGTTCAACAGTGGTTATCTCCAAGTGAAGAACTCTTAAAAGTATAAATCTGGGCATGTACTAGAGTCTCCACAGGATGTTTATTAATATATTTTCATGCTGACTTTCATGAAAAATAACCCTGGAGTTAATTCTATGAAAGGATCTTTGTTATCAGAGATACTGACCCAGTGCTCTACAGACATCCATGAAATAGTGAGAGGTCTCTCTCTCTCTCTCTGGGGAAGGATTCCTGGATTCCAGCCAACCTCGACCTCCCTGAGCAACCCTCCTCAGGACCACACAGGCCCCATATATATGGAAGGAATGGTACTGGCTCACTTGCCCCCCCAGAGGGGCTCACGTTCTTTAAAGTCAAGACTCACGTGCTTTTCACCACCATGATCCCTGCATCTGACACACAACCTGGCTCAAAGTGGGTTCCTAGGAAACCCACTAAAAGGCAACTGGACACTCATTCCTGAGTTTACCATTCCCCAGGTTATGACCAGAACAAAGTATGCAAATAAATAACAATAGTTTCTGGCAAGGAAGAAAGTAAGGCAAGTCTCAGGCTCCTGTTTGGCATATTATCATTATTATCCTGCATACAATGGAGGATACACACGTCAATGGCTAACTACAAGACAAGGTAGAACAAACAACAGCTACAGTGAGGGAGTCGGCAAAATGTTACCGAATGCTGACAGAGGCAACCAATTCTTGTGTAGCAGCATGGAGGCACTGCTACAATCTAAAGCATACAGGAAAATATCCTCCATGTGAGGGGTTTTTTTAATGATTTTTTTTTTGAGGTTTTTTGCTATAGGGTGCATGTGCTCACCAGAAAGACAGATACAAGACCCCCCCCCCCCGGGGGGGGGGGGAGGGGAGATGGCCACACCGCAATCCCTTTTCCTCCATTCTCCTCTCGGGATCTTAGGCACGCATACACACATGCCTGCGTGAGTTTAAGCCACCGGATTCGGATCTCGAACCACAGTCAACTACATAGGAGTCCAGCGACATAGCCATCACACCAAACTGCTGGTCCCGATTTGAGTTTTACAATGTGACCGAGAAGATTGAGGATTATTCAATTTACCTTAATAGGTCCCAAAATGCAATTCTCTTTAGATCTGTCCATGATGCCTGGAAAGGAAAAAGAGAGCTTTAACTTAAACAAATGCACCTGCTTCAAAGTGTTGTTATGCTGGGCAGTTATAGCTCTCTAATGAAATGAAAAGGTCTCCACAACACCAAGAATCTATATTTTTATCTTTGCCCAAAGAAAACTGATAAGGGAAATATCTTCTCTCATCTGATATACATTTGATCTATCAGCACATCTTATAGGATCCTACTGGGAGATGCCTTCTCTCTCTGGAGAGCATATGCCTTTTGACAATTAAGGAAAAAAAGGAAAGGAACAAGGTGCACTGGGTTGGGCCAGCCCTGGAGCCCAGGGTCTAACGGAGCCAGGTCCCACACGGCCGACCGCTGATCGATTCCTGGCGGCATGAAAAACATGCCAGGACACGTGCACACATGCCCCAAATCCTGATGGGACAGAGAAATGGAGGCAAGGACTGCAGTGCCAAGATAATGCCTTCAGGGAGGGCTTTCTCTCTGACCAGCACAAGCATCCTCTGGCAAAAACAGAGCAAAGAGACAGTGGGTTAGTACAAACAATAGAAAGGAAATGTGTGTTTGTTAAGCAAATGCCAAATAGAAGACAGAGACCACATAGGCCTGAGGACACTTATTCCACATTCTTGTGACAGAAGGTTGTTCCAACTTAATATTTACTTTCTAGGGAAGGTGAGTAATAAAATGGAGGAAGAGTCTGATCGGGAAAACTGCTCATCAACCCATTCTGATCTACACCCAGATTCAAGAACCATGTGACCTTCACAGGATCTACTCTGTTCAAACCTAGCATTCTATTCTTCTGAGTAAAGAGCCGTTCAGTTAATAGCACAGTGGGGTCATGCTTTTTTCCCTCCTTCAGACCTGGGAATGTCAGAAGAGATGAAGGAGAAGGACACGGGACTGAGTATGTTACAGGAAAGTGTCCAGTGCAAGGACCAAGAATGGTTTAGGAGACCTGAGAACTCAAGGACAGTAGCTACATCTGCCTCTTAGGTTTGCTAGAAGGGAGACTCCGAAGCCCAACTCCAGATCTAACAAACCAGACGTTTTACCATCCCCAGGTGATAGGCATGTGCCAGTCTGCATTACTAGAATCACCTGGAAAGCTCGTTACACCAGAATCCTATCCCTAAGAGACTTCCGTGTGTTGAGTCTGCCGTAGGGATGTACCTTTAACAAGGCCTTTAAGTAATTCCAACGTAACTGCCCCAAGGTCTACGGTTTGAGAAGTACTAGCCCTGAAAGACCTCCGCCAGGAGGTCCTCCCCAGCCAGCCAGGACAAGGGCCTTCCCAGGCTCTTCGCAAGCCACACGACTGCCTGCTTCCCTTCGAAACACCCGCCGGAACTGCGAGTGATACCGGGTTAGGTCTGCCTCCCCACCCCCACTGGGACGTCAACTCCAAGACAGCAAAGACCGACCTCACGCCTTCTATCCAGGTGCTTGGCGAATACAAAACCCAGCGAAAAGGCGCTTTTTCCGCGCCGGTGCCACTCAACAGCCTCTTCCCCCTCCGGCTGTAACTTACAGGGCGCCTCCGTCCCCAGGAGGGTGCGGAGGTGCTGGGAGAGCGCAGGGGACCTGTCACTGCTCCCTCTCCCGGTCGGGTCCCGCCGCTTCACGAGCCAAGCCTCATTCCCACCCGCTCGCCCCCCGCACGGCGCCAGCGTCCTTGATCTACCCACCCGTTGGCTCCCGCCACAGACCCACAGCCGCAGAGTCCAGCCAAGAGCTCAGCCGTTAGGATTCAAAGCGTCTTCTTTTTAAATAGGAGTTAAACCCTCTGATCCGAAAGCTGATTGGCCCGAGCTACAGAAAAGCTGCCTTGTGATTGGCTCACAGCGAACGCGACGACTTGAGTCATGTTCCGAGGCGCACACTCGCACAGGCGCACTTGCGCCGCAGGACCCCGGAAGTAGGGCAGCCAACGGCCCATTAGACCCGTGGCTGTTCTAACCCCTGCGGTGCTGTCCGGGGTCGAACATTGGTCGGTGAGGCAACTCCTTGGCGTCAGGGTTGTCGCAAAGGAGATAAAATCGGAGGAGGTGAACAAACCTTTTGAACGTGCCAGTAAGTAAGATGGCGAGAAGGGCAAGCGAGAGGGGGAGCCATCGATAGCGCCGCGCTCGTCTTGGCGCCCTTACGCGTGCGCAGTGAACGTGCTCTCGGGGCGATCGATTGGGCAGGATTCGCGCCTCCATTTTTCTGGGAGAGAGCCGGGGACTGAAAGAGCCGGACCAGCGGGTACGGGGATCCGGGATACCGAGAGAGCCTGAGGCGGTCAGCTGGGTCCTTTAGACTAGGCCCACGGGAAGGGCGGGGCGGGAAGGGTTGGTGGCAAGAAAGGTGCCCATGCACCCGGAGTTCGTTTCCCAAGTTGCCAGACTGGGCCTGCACGCCCCCTCTTCCTCCAAGAACCTCGCTCCCACTCCGGCCCCATGCTTAGTTCGCCTCCGCATTGGGATGGTGGCGGCGAGTGCAATGAGAGGGAGCCGGTGTTCAGGTCCTGGTCTCCTTTACACCCCGCGTGTAACCCGTCCTGGATCGGATTCTTCCTGTTCTCTTGCCTCAGTGTCCGCACCTGCAAATTAGGGATGGTCATTAGTCTCTTCCTATCCAGGCCAAGTGAAAGGTCTTTGGCAGTTGAGAAATGAGGGCTCGATCACTTGCTTTTTCAAATCTCCTTCTATATCCGGTAACGAGCTGAGCAGGAGTAAAGAGACGGAATGGATTGGTGGTTAAGTTCTGGGCTGTGGAGTGGGCAATCCTGGCGGCCACGTTAACCTTGGAGATTAATTACTCAGCCACGCTTTACCTTGAGTGGGTGTCCTAATCTCTTGGAGCCCGTCTTATGACCCAGTATCATTTGGACAATCTTAGGTTTATAAATACACATTTGCCACTGGGTATACTTGAATTCATTGAATTATTTCATTCAATGAGATTATGGTTAATAATTCATTCAATGAGATTATGGTTAAAAGTAGTCTCCACAGCCTCCAACGTGTAAAAAGTGGTTAATAAGTACTAGTTCTTCTTATTAGCACCCATCAGTATCACACAGTGTGGAAGAATGCAGGGTCTGCGTGTTGCTTTTATTCTTTATTACTATCCCCTGACACTTGCGGCCTTCTGATCTCTGTCCAGATGTGCACATGCATATAGATTGCATATAGATAATAATTTTTAATGGACAGATTATCTAATTGTGTCTACCAATTGCAGTTCTTTTTATTTATTTATTTTTTTTTGCATAAAGCAGTCCTTCCGGTTTTTATGACACCCCCCCCCCATTTTTATCATTGTTTGGGCTTTATCTTATTTGGCAACATTTTACTATCATTACAATTACATCATTTGCCTTGAAACAGTTTTTAAGAATCAACATAATGAGGGCCAACCTGTGGCCTAGAGGTTAAGTAAACCAGATCCTACACTGCCAGCCACGGTTCAAATCCTGTCCCCTCAGTGCACATGTGTGCCCAGAATTCAGCCAGGACAGACAAATGGAAGAGAAGGGATTTTTTATATGACCACACCCAATTGGGGAGTGTGCTCCCTTTCCTGCCCTGTATCAAGGGCACATGTCCTCTGGCAAAAAAAGAAAAAGAAAGAAAAAAAGAAATCAACATAAGGGACATTAATAAACAACACACAGCTCAGCTGGTGGAAACCAAGTAATCCTGACAGTTGACAAGATAATGACTGTTTTTACCTGTTTAAACACCAGTCAGTGTTTCGCTAATAGAAGAAGTAAAAGGTCCTGGGATAGCAGGAAAGGATAAAAATCACAGGTCAGTAGTTTGGCAGAGACTACAAAAGTTGATAAGGTTATTCTGTAAGTATCGACCAATGTGACCTTAACAGTTTCTGTATGCCAGGCACTGTGCTCAGTGCTTTGTATGCGCCATCTTGTTTAACGCTGGTGATTTATTTAACAGCCAGGGAACCTGAGCCTAGGGAGTTGAGGTCACTGACCAGAAAGAATGCAGCCAGTAGAAGTGAGACCTAATCCTGGAAGATACGTCAGACCTGAGAGTCGAGTGCCGCTTCTGTGATCTACTGGTGATTTACCTCTTCCTTCAGTATCCATCTATTTCTTTTTTTAATTTATTTTTCTGCAGTTGGCAAGGAACCTAACTTCTCCAGGATGTACAGGACCAAGGTGGGCTTGAAGGACCGCCAGCAGCTCTACAAGCTGATCATCAGCCAGCTGCTCTACGACGGCTACATCAGCATCGCCAACGGCCTCATCAATGAAATCAAGCCTCAGTCTGTGTGCGCACCCTCGGAGCAGCTCCTGCATCTCATCAAGCTAGGTAGCTTACCAGCGCGGATTCGTAGTTCTGTGTGAGGTTTTGGATATTTTCACACAGCAGAATTTTTCACGATGATTTTTGTTTAGTTTTGGTGCCTAGTAAGTGCCACGACCAGTCCTGGGAATGGGAGGGGTAAGAGAATTCCAGATTGTGAGGACTGGTAACTACTTCTAGCCTCAGGGTTACTGTGCACATTATCTGGGGCACTGTGTTATCACGTGGTTGTCTTCCTTCAAGTCGCAACTTCCACATCATCTCAGAAACCTCAGAATGAAGCAATCCCGCTATCACAATGATCCCATTTCCTTCATAACAGAATCACTATCTGAAATTTCCTTTATCTTTTGCATTATTTCTCACACAGTCCTGCCACCCCCACCCCCCAAAAAAAAGAAAAACCCACAAGCTCAGTATAGATCAGGACCTTACCTTATTCGGAGATACATGCTGGTGCTACCTTGCTAATAGCACTCAATACGATACAGAACTAGCAGGACCAGTGGGTGGCATAATGGTTACGTCACTGGACTCCCACATAGTCAACTGGGGTTCGAGTCTCAAACTTGGCAGCTTAAAACTCACCAGGTGTGTGTGCATGTGTACCCAAGATCCTAAGAGGAGAATGGAGAGGGATTGTGGCCTGGCCGTTCCCACGGGGGTGGTGATGTCTCACTTTCTATCTCTCTGGCGAGCACACACGCCCCTATGGCAAAAATGTCTGTTAAAAAAAAATACTGAGTTAACAATGTGTTTTTGCCATTTGACTTGGCAATGCCAATGTGAGCATTTCTTCCAAAGAAATAAAATGGATAAGCGAATGCCCAACAATATGGAATTAGCTATACATTTTTGGATACTCATCAAATGTAACACTACAGCACAGTGGTGTTGTAGATAAATGTTGATTAGCCTGGACAGATTTTTATTTTGTATTATTAAACGAAAATTGTATGCATGAGAAAAGGCCCAGAAAAATTCATACCACAATATTGACAATAATTATCTCTGAGTAGTAAAATTTAAGGCCCTTTTTATTTTCTTGTCTATGCTAATAATCATATATATTTTTTTTACCCTTTGGAGAGGTTTTTGCTATAGGGCACGTGTGCTCACCAGACAGACAGAGACAGAAAACGAGAAATCATCCCCCGGGGGGATGGCTACGCCACATTCCCTTCTTTTCCATTCTCCTCTGGGGATCTTGGGCACGCACACACACACACCTGGTGCAAGTTGAAGCCACCAGATCCAGGACTCAGACTACAGTCAGCTACATGGGAGTTCAGCAACATAGCCATTACGCTAACTGCTGGTCCCCTAATAATTATAATCTTTATATAAAATGAGAGGTTAGTTTTAATTTAAAATGCATACTTTTGTCAACTTCTATCTATTTGAATATCAGCCTTTCACAGATGACTTACTGATGTTTAGGCTAACAGTTGCCTTAATGAGCTTCAGAGCTGCTACTAAATAGATCTAAGCCTTGAAAACAGTAAATTTTGAAAGGGGAAGAAATGAATTCACTAACTACAGAACACTTTTTAGTTTCTGTACTTGTGGTTAAAGTGGTACACACTGGAGGCGAGAACTTGGAGGGACAGCTGTCTATTGGAGCCTCACCTCCCATCAGCCCATGGTGCGTCGCAGCATGGTGAGCCTTGACTAGCACAGCAAGGAACTTAACTTGGTGAAGCACTAGGTGTCTTACAATTTCAAAAAATAATGAGGCAGTAGTGGCAAACATCTCTCAAGTTTGGATCTAAAATTTTGTCTTGTTCTTTTAAAAAAAAGTTGTTCATGTCCTCAATTTTGATTTCTTTCAGGAATGGAAAATGATGACACTGCAGTTCAGTATGCAATTGGTCGTTCAGATACAGTTGCCCCTGGCACAGGGATTGACCTGGAATTTGACGCAGATGTCCAGACTATGTCCCCAGAGGCATCTGAGTATGAAACATGTTATGTCACATCCCATAAAGGACCGTGCCGTGTAGCTACCTACAGTAGAGATGGGCAGCTAATAGCTACTGGATCTGCTGATGCTTCCATAAAGATACTCGACACAGAGAGAATGTTGGCCAAAAGTGCCATGCCAATAGAGGTGAGGGCCCCAGCAGCGTGTCTACTATTTGCCCTTTCTTTAGTGAGGGTCCTTTGTTCATGTCCTCAGTAAGAGAGATATACGGGCACTCCTAGCAGGATCCTCATGCCAAAACCGTCCTCAGCCAGGCTGGACCCCGGGCATATGCATGGCACGCACAGGGAAGCCTCAGGATGCAAACCCGGGACCTCCACATATGGGTCAAGCATTGCAGAGCATTGCTTTACCACTACACCTCCAGCAGGCCCCACTCTGCCTTTGGGTGTCCACTCTTGAAAGAACAAGAGTATGGGTTAAGTCAGGTTTCGTTCACCACCGCTGTGGGTTGTGTACTTTGATCAGGCTCTGTACCGTCAGCACGGCTTTTCTTGTTGGTCCAGGTCATGATGAATGAGACTGCACAGCAGAACATGGAAAACCACCCCGTGATTCGAACTCTCTATGACCATGTGGATGAAGTCACGTGTCTCGCTTTCCACCCAACAGAACAGATCCTGGCCTCTGGTTCAAGGGACTATACTCTTAAATTATTTGATTATTCCAAGCCATCCGCAAAAAGAGCCTTCAAGTACATTCAGGTAGGAAGATTTGGGAAGGAGCTTTATGTTTTCTTCTTAAAATACAGTGTGAGCTGTTGTGCGACTGTTCTCTTTTTTAAAGTGATCTCAGTAACCACACCGTAAAACAAGAACATAGCCGCCAGGGTGCATGCTGGGTGGCGTGAGGATAGGGTTTCCTGGACACGGGATTCATGTCCTGTCGTGTTCCCGGGCAGCACTGTTCCCTAGTCATAGTTCACGTGTCAGGGTTCAGAATCCCATATCTTTAAAGGTTGCAAATCCCTGTTAAAAACAAAACATAACTGGGCCAGTAGGTGGCATGAAGGTTGAAATGCTGGATTCCACATGACTGACTCCATGGTTTGAGTCCCAGGCTCAGCAGCTTGAAAATCACTCCAGGTGCATGTGAATGCATCCCCGAAATCCCAGGAGGAGACAAGAAGGGAATGTGGCATGGTCTTCCCCCTAGGGGGGGTGATTTCTCACTTCCCCTCTCTTTGGTGAGCACGCATGCCCTATAGCAAAATAATAATAATTACTAAAGTATACTTATAGATGTCAAAAAAACTATTCAGTTGAAGCTATTGAATGTTTACTGGAAAGGTAACATTTGGCACCCTATTTTGAATATGTATTGCAGAAAAATCTGACATTTTAGTAGTAACTTCCATCTTTGAATAATTACACTTTTTTATTTAATATTTACAGAAGCCAGTGTACATCGAAGTTGTGTTCCTCTTCATTCAGTAACTGTGAATGTGTCAGATTGGTAATGATCCATTCTGAGTTTATGTCTTATCCATTTGCAGATAATGAAGCTCACTCCTGTATTTGGGGAATAATTTAACCAATAAAAAGAGAGTTTTGTTCAAAAGTTACTTCCAGGGTGTAGAGAGGACTTAGCAGGCAGGAGCACATAAAGTTTATTGAATCCTCTCATTCATTCATCCATTCAGCAGATGGCATAATGGCTACGTCACTGTATTCCCATGTAGTCTACTGTGGTTAGAGTCTCGGACTCAGTGACTTAAACTCACGCCAGGCGTGTGTGCATACGTGCCCAAGATCCTGAGAGGAGAATGGAGGAGAAGGGATTGCAGCGTGGCCATTCCCCAACCCCAGGGGGTGTTTTCCTCACTTTCTGTCTGTCTCTCTCTCTCTCTCTTTCTGGCGAGACCACATGCCCTATAGCAAAAACCTCTCCAAAACAAAAACGAAAACAAAATAAAACAAAATTACTTCCAAATGTTCCATAAAGTGCTTGTATTTTTTCCGGTATCTCTAATATCTGATAACTGTTCTGTGAGCTCTTCGCATCAACCAGTTGTTTTCCACACGTCCTCTATGTAATAGTCCTCCCGTTGGTTACTTATGTTAACATTTCTGTCTCAACAGGAAGCAGAAATGTTACGCTCCATCTCTTTCCATCCTTCTGGAGACTTCATACTTGTTGGAACTCAGCACCCCACGCTTCGCCTCTATGACATCAACACCTTTCAGTGTTTTGTCTCTTGCAACCCTCAAGATCAACACACCGATGCTATATGTTCCGTTAGTTACAACCCTAGTGCCAATATGTATGTGACTGGTAGCAAGGACGGCTGCATCAAGTTGTGGGATGGTGTTTCAAACCGCTGCATCACGACTTTTGAGAAAGCACATGATGGTGCTGAAGTTTGTTCTGCAATATTTTCCAAAAACTCCAAATACATTCTCTCAAGTGGAAAAGACTCTGTGGCTAAACTTTGGGAAATATCAACAGGACGCACACTGGTCAGATACACGGGTATGTGGGAACTTAATGCTATATAACATTTCTCTGTAGCGTGTCATGGTTTCCAGAAGTATTTCAGATCTTCTGGGATACCATCAACCTATACGTTGAGCAAGGCAGATGTTACCCTTTCGTGCAAGAGGAAACAAAGGCTTAGAGTTAAATCATTTAGCCAGGTCTGCAGTTAGAGGTGGTAGAACCAGAGCTCGAACTCTGGTTTCCTCACTTTGCCTTTCTCAGTATGTTGCAGCATAGACTAGGTCTGGATCCCATGCAAGGAACACTTGAGAACCCGGTGGTCCATTTGTAGACAGAGGGCCTGTCCTACGAGAACATGAAAACAGTCCAGGGGGAAGATCTTGCTTGGTCCAGTCCAAGAGAGCAGAAGGAGGGTGCAAATTCTGAACCTGGGTGTAGAGAGGGCTTAGTACTAAGGCAGGAGCACATAAAGTTTATTGAATCCTCTCATTCATTCATTCATTCATAATGGATCTCTGGTAGCAGTGGTGCCTCTGTTTCTTTTTATAAGGAGATCTATTTAAATTTAAATTTTGCATTCGGTAACTGAGAATATGTCATAGACAGGTAATGTTCCATTCTAAGTTCATGTCGTATCCATTTCCAGGTGGTGAAGCTCACCTCTGTAGTTGGGGAATAATTTAACCCAAATTGTTTAGATTCATCCTGTTGCTACTAGGCAAGGTTCAGGTCTGGTTATTTGACAGCTTTGTTAAAATGCTGTGTCTCACTCTGCTGTCACTTGTAGCACCAAAGGCTGCTGTTCTGTAGAAAGCTCTCAAGAAACTTTCACTGATTTTTTTGTTGTGGGGTATGTTTGTATATAAACTGAAATTGCTATGAGCACAACTCAAAATTAACTCATGAGAAGACGCTATGGAAAGGGTCTTTGCGTGTGTGAGCAATTCAGAGAGTTGGAGCACGTGACACTTGTCCACTAGGGTGCAGCACAGCCTCGGGTTTGCCTCACTGCTTCCCTGTCGTCCTGGCTTCTGGGGAAGGTAGTAAAATACAACTAGCAGGTCTTGCAGAGTCGCTTTATCATAATCCTTGGTGACTTTGTTGAAACACTTTTATAATAAGCTATTTTGGAGAATGCCTCATTACTATTAAAGAGCTGTGTACTTATTCCAGAAAGAGATACAGGATGACCCAAGAGTGTGGAAGTGCCCCCAGTAGCAGTGCTGTTTTAGGGAGCACGCGGTTTGTCCCAGGAGTGTGGAAGTGCCCCCGTAGCAGTGCTGTTTTAGGGAGCACGCAGTTTGTCCCAGGAGTGTGGAAGTGCCCCCGTAGCAGTGCTGTTTTAGGGAGCACGCAGTTTGACCCAGGAGTGTGGACGTGCCCCCCGTAGCAGTGCTGTTTTAGGGAACACGCAGTTTGTCCCAGGAATGTGGAAGTGCCCCCGTAGCAGTGCTGTTTTAGGGAGCACGCAGTTTGTCCCAGGAGTGTGGAAGTGCCCCCGTAGCAGTGCTGTTTTAGGGAGCACGCAGTTTGTCCCAGGAGTGTGGAAGTGCCCCCGTAGCAGTGCTGTTTTAGGGAGCACGCAGTTTGTGGGCAGGTACACACCAGACTGTTGTCAAGAACGTTTCTACGAGAGGACTTCCAAACTTCTGTGGAAAATGGAATTAAAGTCCGAGTTTATTTTAGTGCAAATTGGTAAATCCACGTGTGGTTTTTTCATAAGACTCATTTTTTTTTTTTTTTGAGAGGTTTTCACTATAGGGCGCGTGCGCTCGCCAGACAGAGAGAGAGAGACAGAAAGCGAGAAATCACCCCCAGGGGGGATAGTCACGCCGCAATCCCTTCTCCTCCATTCTCCTCTCGGGATCCTGGGCACGCACGAACACGCACCCGACGTGAGTTTTAAGCCACCGGGTCCAGGACGTGAACCGCGGTCGACTGCGTGGGAGTCCAGCAACATAGCCATTACGCTAACTGCTGGTTCCCACCATTGGGCTTCTTGAAGACCATTTTGAAGGCCTGTTATGTCAGGGATGTTGAGAATGTTTTTTGATGATATACAATTGGTTGGCATGTTTTATTGGAGAGTTGCAGTTTGGTCTTTCCAAAAGGGATTATACTGAATTTATATTACAAATCCCCTCTTTCTGTTTTCCTAATGTACAGGTCAAGTCCCTATTATATCAGCACATTGAAATTTCTTTTTTTAGTTTTAATATTTAGTTAGAATTTCAAAGGGTCTTGAAGTAATGAAGGAAAAGAAAAATAATCAGGAAAACATCCCCCCCAAATTTTTTTAAATTATTTTATTTAACTTTACTTATTCATTTACTTATTTTTAATTTGACCAGAGAGGGACAGACAGAAAGAGAGAGCGAGAGAATGTGAGAAAGCAAGCCGCCAGGTCTGGGTTGAACCGCAGGCGGCCATGTTGGAGTTGACTGCCCTTAACCACACCACCTGCCAGCCCCAGTCACTGCCGCTTTTTCTTTTCTTTTTCTTTTTTTAAATAATTGTTTATTTTGTTTTATTTATTCATTCATTTTTAACTTGACCAGAGAGAGACAGAGGGTGAGAGTGAGAGAGAGAGGAAATGAGAAAGCAAGCCACCAGATTCAGGACTCGGACGCTGGTCAGCCATGTGGGAGTGTCCAGCGCCTTAACCACCATGCCACTTGCTGGTCCCCAACATCCAAAATTTTGATGATGGAGTTAGTTAAAAACTCTAAGCAATTAAAATGCTATGCCAAAAAGAAAAATATTCACACGTATATTCATACAAGGGGTCTTCAAAAAGCTCATGAAAAATGCACATTATGAAAAAACTTGGGAACCAGCAGTTAGCGTAATGGCTATGACACTGGACTCCCACCTAGTCGACCGTGGTTCGCGTCCCGGACCCGGTGGCTTAAAACTCACACCGGGCGCGTGTGCGTACGTGCCCAAGATCCCAAGAGGAGAATGGAGGAGAAAGGATTGCGGCGTGACCTTCCCCCCTAGGGGGTGATTTCTCATTTTCTATCTCTAATGTCTCTCTCTGTCTGTCTGGCGAGCGCATGTGCCCTATGACGAAAATCTCTCCAAAAAAAAAACTTGATGGCTTTAAAATTTGTTTGCACCAAAGTCGACTTATAGTTCATTTGCCCAAGGTCAGAGCTCTAATGAGTTCGGATCCCAGCTCACACAGTTGGTGTTAGCCATTGAGCTGTCTGCCCGTCACATAGCTGCACTGCATGCTGGGGGGTGTATAGTGTGCGGCACACACTGTGACCTCTGTGCTGCATAGGCGAGGGGCCACGCCCAGAGATTTGGAAAGGGTACCTGTCAGGGTGTCAACAGTGTCATGTCTTGGTGGTGAAATGGTCAGTTTCTGTTTTTCTTTTTATCCTTTTATGTAGTAGTTTATTCATAGTCATAAGAGGTTGAAGCCCTCTTTTGGAAAATGGATGTTTGTATTCTGTCTCAGTAACTCTATTCCAAGAAATTTAAGCCTAAGGAAATAATCCTTTCTGTACAAAGGGTGTTTATCACAGTATTACTCAGAATTGATCCAAACTAGCAGTGAAAGCACTGTTAAATGCAATGAGTAGTGGGGCTTCTAAACAGAGGATGCTTTGTAATACCGTGTAATAGCGAGTAATACCGTGGGCAAACATAGCCAACATCATTGGCTTAAAGTGTGATAGAAAAAGTCCATATAACGGAGTCAGTTTTTGAATGTGCTTTCATGCCTAGAAGTAGGTCCGAACATTAACAGGTGATTTTTTTTAATGGACTTTTTTAGAGTTTCCAAAACTAGAAAAACGGGTGTCAACAGTGTCATGTCTTGGTGGTGAAATGGTCAGTTTCTGTTTTTCTTTTTATCCTTTTATGTAGTAGTTTATTCATAGTCATAAGAGGTTGAAGCCCTCTTTTGGAAAATGGATGTTTGTATTCTGTCTCAGTAACTCTATTCCAAGAAATTTAAGCCTAAGGAAATAATCCTTTCTGTACAAAGGGTGTTTATCACAGTATTACTCAGAATTGATCCAAACTAGCAGTGAAAGCACTGTTAAATGCAATGAGTAGTGGGGCTTCTAAACAGGATGCTTTGTAATACCGTGTAATAGCGAGTAATACCGTGGGCAAACATAGCCAACATCATTGGCTTAAAGTGTGATAGAAAAAGTCCATATAACGGAGTCAGTTTTTGAATGTGCTTTCATGCCTAGAAGTAGGTCCGAACATTAACAGGTGATTTTTTTTAATGGACTTTTTTAGAGTTTCCAAAACTAGAAAAACATTGCTTTGCCAGTCTCACAGAGTTGGCTCTGTGTAGGATTAACCGCAGCACAAGTGCCTCCCGAGGGCCGGCCCTTACCTTCTTGGTTTCTTCAACAGGTGCAGGTCTGAGTGGACGGCAGGTGCATCGGACACAGGCCGTCTTCAACCACACGGAGGACTATGTGCTGCTGCCCGATGAGAGGACGATCAGTCTGTGCTGCTGGGACTCGCGGACGGCCGAGCGGAGGAACCTGCTGTCTCTGGGCCACAACAACATCGTGCGCTGCATAGTGCACTCGCCCACCAACCCCGGCTTCATGACCTGCAGCGACGACTTCCGGGCACGGTTCTGGTACCGGAGGTCCACCACTGACTGAGCCGCCTCGCCCAGAGGTCCTTTTCTCCAGGACCCGCCCTCCTGCCCCTGTGCCCTGTCACCAGCTCCGGTAGTCAGTCAGTACCATCGCTGGCAGGCGTGCTGCCCGCTCTGCTGCATCCCTCTCGGGTTTGTACAGATGGAGAATGTGGGCAAAGCTGGAGACGCAGGGCTGCGGATCTGCACTCACTGATGACTAGTGTGCTTCTCATCAGTTTGTAAATGCAGGACGTGCCGGTTCTTCTCCATCTCTCAAGGTTTGAAGAAGGCTAGAGTATTAAAGTGCTTTCTATTCTCAAGTGAACCTGTTCATGAGGAATTTTCACTCGGTCCTTCTGTCAACTTTCGTGCCCGTCCTGCTGTTCCCTCTTTGTGTATTTCCTTTCCAAGTACATGTCGATGGACGAGGAGGCATGCAGCCCTGAGAAGCTAGTTTTTGTGCCATATTGAAACCATTTTAGAGAACCTCTCAATTTTGTCCTGAAACAACATCATTCTGATAATAAAGCTCAGATCTGCAACTGTAGTGTTACACAGTTTCCCTTCAGTAAGACTTTTTTTGAGTTTTTTTCCTTTATTCTTTTTTTTCCCCTACGGGGCCAAGTGCACTTGCCAGAGAAAGAAAGAAAAAAATCAGTCCCAAGGGAGGATGGCCACACTGCACCCCCTTCTTTCCTCTTGGGGTTGGGCATGGACATGTGCACACATACCTGCCCCTGGGGTTGTGTATTCTGGGGTCTAGGACTGAACTTCCCATCAGCCATGTGGGATCCAGTCACCTTAACCTCCACACCACCTGCTGGCCCTCCTTCAAAGCAGTTAGTGATCAGCTTTTTCTAAAGATTGATAGAAGCCGTTATCTTTCCTATCACACCAACCTTTCAATACCTCCAGTGCTTAAAAAACTATTTCCGCTAAGATTATTGCAATGTGATGGGAAACATAATTGAAAAGGTAGCTTATCTAATCCGAAGTACGTGAGCTGGGCCAGCAGGTGGCACGGTGGTTAAAGCACTGGATTCCCACCAACTGCAGTTGGAGTTTCGGACCTGGCGGCTCACACACACACACTCACTCTCTCTCTCTCTCTCTCTCTCATCAAATTAAAGTAATGATAATAATAAAGTTAAATGAGGATTACTAAAAACAAAAGTAGATGAGCCACTGTTACTCACAGGTGTTGCTTGTCTTCACAAGCGATTACTGTCCTTAGGTACTTTCGTAGCACTTTACTTTAGCGAGAATCGGAACTTCTCTCCAGGGCTCGCAGTAACTGCATTCTGAGAAGATTTAGGCAGCTATCCAAATGATACAACTTTTCTTTTCTTGAAACTTTTTAGAAGATAGCAACATTCCTTTGGATTTAGCTTTCAATAGATCAAAGGTCTCAGAACTCCCTTTACACAAACAGACAGCTTTATATTTACCCAAGGAAAAAAATAAAAATCTCATGATCTAGGTAGCAGTACCTAGAAATATAATGTGGGATCACTTGATAAAGCAGTTAGTTACTTTTAATCCGCTTAACATTTTTATGTTATAAGAACTTATGAAAGTTACTGAGTAAAAATTATACTTCACTTATTATCCTTGAGTATCATATTAATTTCTTGGTCCGTAAAGCCATTTCAAGCATGCTTAAGGATCAAATCACATCATTGTAGCTCGGATTTCTAAAGAGTTGTAATTTTTTATCCACAGTGGGCGTGAATTTACAAGTTTACCTTTGGTCTTGGCTCTCTAATATTTGGACTTGGCCATCTGTGGGTGCTACTTTTGTAGGATTAAAAGAAACCTGTTGAGAGACCAGCAGATGGCGTAATGGTTAAAATGCTAGACTCCCACATGGTTGACTGCAGTTCAAGTTTTGGACCTGGCAGCTTCAAACTCATGCTGAGTGCATGTGCATGCATGCCCCAAATCCCAAGGAGAATGGAAGAGAAGGGATTTCAGCATGGCATTCGTCCCAGGGGGAGATTTCTCAATTTCTCACTTTCTGTCTCTCTTTCTCCAGTGAGCACACATGCCTTATAGCAAAAATCTCTCTCTTTAAAAAAAAAGGAAAAGAAACCTATTGAATGGGCAAAGATAGCAGTTTACCAAGAAAAAAAATTACTAACTCAAACTTTCCACTTTCTTTTTTAACTTCTTTTGCTTTTAATCTATAAAGTTGTAAAAACAGCTTTAACATTTCTGTAATTCTGCTCTAGCTCAGGTACTAAAGTGACACGTATTTCTGATACAGGTTCCACTTGGTCCTTTCAGTGTCGACGAATTAAAACAATCCCTGCTTTTTATAGTTTTTGAAGTAGTCAGCAATGGTTCTATAGTTTCAAGATTTATATTTACAAGATCAAGATAACTTACATGTGTTTCCCAAGATAGTTTGTTTTTGTTTTTGCTATAGAGCACATGCACTCACCAGAGGGAGAGAGAACATGAGAAATCACCCCCAGGTGAATGGCCAAGCTGTAGTCCCTCCTGAGATTTCGGGCATGCACACACATGCGCCTAGCGTGCTTCCCAGGTTGCTGGGTTCAGATTCAAACTGCAGTCAGCTGTGTGGGATCCAGCACTTCAACCACCATGCCACCTGCTGACCCATTTTTTTCCCCTTGTAATTAAATTCATATTAATATTTTGAGTCGATGTAAATACCAAGAATATTACATTCACTTTGTATACACAACTCATTGTACTACATAGCGCTCTGACATTTGAGTGATGGATAATATCCAGTTAGGTAAGAACTTAAATTTTCTGGGACCAGCAGTTGGCATAATGGCTATGTTGCTGGACTCCCATGTAGCCCACCACAGTTCAAGTCCCAGACCCAGCTTAAACTCATGCCGAGTGTGTGTGCGTGCGTGCCCAAGATCCTGAGTGGAGAATGGAGGAGATGGGATTGCGGTGTGGCCATCTCCCCTGGGGGATGATTTCTTGCTTTCTCTCTCTCTGTCTTTCTGGCTAGCACACATGCCCTATAGCAAAAACCTCTCCCAATAAAAAAATCTTAAAAAAAAATTAACTTATATTTTCTGTTACTTTTTTAAAGACTTGAGATTTCCAATATAAACTTTCTGTATGCAATGGTCATTTAAAGCTTGTTAATTTTTTGAATCTTGCCTTGAACATTGTCATATATTTTTCCTCTTTATTTATTTATTTATTTATTTTATTTATTCATTCATTCATTATTATTATTTTTAGCTTGACCAGAGAGAGACAGAGGGTGAGACTGAGAGAGAGAGGAAGTGAGAAAGCAAGCCACCAGATTCAGGACTTGAACCGTGGTCGGCCATATGGGAGTGTCCAGTGCCTTAACCACCACGCCACCTGCTGATCACCATGCCACCTGCTGATCCCTAATTTATTTATTTTACATACTTTCACTGAACATCACCACAGCATACCAAATGTGATTTTCCAGCCAGAATACACTGTAAAGTGGCTTAATCATACTTGTTATTGTCAACAAATAATTTTCCATTTCTTGTTTGTTTCTTTTTCCCCCCACCCATTTCTCACCCTCTGCCACTTCCCATCCTCCTCCCATCCTGTGTCTGGTATCTGTGGTTGCTTTCCATTCCTTTTTTTTTCCCCGCATTGTATTGCTTCAGAAAATATTTTAACTAATCTAAATGCTTTCAATAGTAAGTTCAGCTGATATATACATACCTGTGAACAAAAGTAGACTTTAGGCGGGGGCCAGCAGGTGGCGTGGTGGTTAAGTCACTGGATACTCCCACATGGCCGACCAGGGTTCAAGTCCTGAATCTGGTGGCTTGCTTTCTCACTTCCTCTCTCTCTCACTCTCACCCTCTGTCTCTCTCTGGTCAAATTAAAATATAAATGAATGAATAAGTAAAATAAAAGAAATAATTTTTTTAAAGTAGACTTTAGGCATAAAACTGGGTAGAATGAATATACTACAAAATAGCACCTAGCTGAGGCTATATAGCTTACTGTGGTTACTAAATAGGTATTTTTTAAATATATTTTTTAATTTCAAGAAAGGCAGTTTTAGCTTTAATAAATCAAAATCAAAAAATGTTAAGAGAAATTTGCCTAATACTGAAAGCCAGGAAACAGGTTAGGTTTCTGTTCAAATAGTAGGTACATGGACCTGTGCACAACTCAAAAGAAGACAAAACTCCTTAACACTGGAAAACAAAGCATAGATTGTCAGTGATGTTTTAGTCAAGAGTCATAACATTCTATTTCACCACTTCAAACTCATGTACTTTATCTTCTGTTGTGGTCTGATCTTTCCGTTCAACTCTGGACCATTAAGCTGGCCATTTTCTTAGCTGTTTTAGAACTCTTATTTCTGTGTGTTTGACTTTAGTTTCCCTGGGATAGCACTCCCTTCAGAACTTCATGGAGAGCTGATCTGGTGTTGGTAAATTCTTTCAGATTTTACCTGAGAATGTTCTTGTCTTCTCTTCCCATACGAAGGATAATCTTGCCAGATACAGAATTCTTGGTTGAAATGGTTTTTCACTTAACATTCTGAATGTATTTTCCCATTCTTTCCTTGTTCACATTGTTTCTGATGAAAGGTCCACTGTTAGCCTGATGGGATATCCTCGGTAGGTAACTTGACATTTCTCTCCTGCCAGTCTGAGTATCTTCTTTGTCTGTGGTTTTGGTCAATCTGGCTATAATGTGTCTTGGAGAAGATCTTCTTGGGTTGATCCTATTTGGGGTCCTTTGTATTTCTTGGGTCTGAAGCTTTGAATGCCTCTCTAGGTTTGGGAAGTTTTCTTCCAGGATTTCATGGAATACATTGTCAATGCCCTTATTAGTCTCTTCACCTTCTGGGATACCGATTATCCAGATGTTCGGATGTTTAATGGTATCTAGTATTTGTCATAAATTGTTCTCATTTTTTTGGACTATTATCTCAGTCTTCATGGTGAATTTTACTAGTCCAGCGATCTTGTCTTCTACATCTGAGATTCGATTTTCTGTATGATCTAGTCTGCTTTTAATACTTTCAAAGGAGGTTTTGACTTCCTGTATTATAGCCTTCATCTCCAGCAGTTCCATTTGATTCTTTTTATGGTGTGTATTTCCTCTTTCAGCTCTCTCAAAACTTCCTCATCTCCTGTAACTTACCAGCATTTTAACAGACATTTCTATGAGTTCCATTGTACTGTCTGTGGATGAAGACGAGTTATTCTTTTCCCTTGGGAGTGAGGTATTTTCTTGGTTTCCCATACTTCTTGTGCCCCTGCAGTGATTTCTAGTCATCTGATGGGTTATTCATTTCTTCCTAATTTCTAGAAGATCAAACTGAGCAAACAGGTGCACAGGAGGAGGTGGTCTGCAAACTCTGGCATTTTTTTTTTCCCTTTGTGATGCAGATTCAGTGGGAGTTGAGGAGTATGAGGACCCAAATAGTATTCGGATATTGGCAACTTTTCACTTAGACTTGTCTAGACACTCAGTGGGTAGAGGCTGAACAGAAAACAGGCTAAATTCTCAGCAGAACATCTTCATTGCCTTATCTCTGAAATCACTAGATCTCATCTCT